TGGAATCTTTTGTTCAAATATTTCAATATTTGGGACGATTTTAACAAAATCCACATTATTCTCATCCCAAGCCTGTATACCATGAAAAGTCATTGTAGACTCTATGTACAATAACAATTCCCTGTACCATAGGATAAAAAAAGTATTAAAATTGCAACTTCAGTGGCACAACGGTCACGCTGGCTGCCATGAAGAAGGATTTTGAAGGCTTGAAATCTTTGAAAAATCTTTGATTATGGGAATGACTCTCCGAAACGTAAAAATAGGTCTACAGCTATTGTTGTTCTTGATAATCTAATTAGCCTTAATTCACCAGTTGTGACTCCGCGACGTAAGTCCGCTGAGTTATTACTTCGCGTTTATCTCTTTCATTCGATGCGAGTTCTAACGAAAATTCTCGCAATTGAAATTTCACCTTTCGAAGTTCCACCTTTATTTTCTAAAAATCCTTATACACACCCAATACTTCTCGCACGAGTTTCAACCAAATTGGCCTTCTAAAAGTGATCAATATCGGCTAAAGGTCACGTTTTACAACCGAATTTGCTCTAATTTGATTTTTCAAGTTCTCATGAGGTACCAAATCTTTCAACTATAAATTATCAATATCGGTTTACGTTTACGGCACCGAACCATTTTCGGTACTTCTGAGGTTTTAGCCCCATTTTCCAACGATGTGGTTGAAAAATTTTACAAAAGGTTCTTAAAGGAAAAATTATATAGGCTTTATCCTAGTTCATACGAGAGCTATACACTCCCAGAGAAACGTTGCAAAATTTGGAACCGATTGGATTATTAATTTTTGAGTTATCGTGCCCGCCATTCGCAAAAAAATGTTTAGAGATAAACGCGTTTAAAGTTTGAGAAGCCCTTCAGCCGTCACTGGATGCGGACACAATAAATCGGATATATCTTCAAGAGTACTTGAGATTTTCACTTGAAATTTTGTAGAGACATTCTTTAATCAGTGTAGATTCAAATTATATCAACAAAAATTTTGACCCCGAGAATGGGGGGGTCCCCTTAAAGGAAAAATTATATAGGTCGTCCATGTTTTGACATAGCCTACATATAAGGGTAGCGCCCCATTGTCTTTATTTTGAAGGTTTTATCCGTATTTCCCCATTGTAAAGGCTGTAACTTGTCATTTTGGGATATTGGAGAGTAAAACACATCTTTGCGGGACATTGACTGTATATGTTCAAAATTTGAAATAGCCTCCCACATTTTCGGCATTATTAAGTTTTTAAACTATTTTTTTTTATCGAAATTGCTATAATTTGGCATAGCGGATTTCTGGCGAATGAAAAACTTGTTTCAACAAAGTATTCGATTAGGTTAGTGGTTTAAAATAGCCTACACCAAAATGTTTCGTTGAAGTTCGTACCCCAGTTTTCTAACCCGTATGTCTGTAATGTAGAACCTTATTTTTCATAGCATGAAGAACCTATTACCACATAATGCAATAACATAGTCCCCACATAAAGTTTCCAGTCTTTACAATGGATATGACATTGCTGACCTCAAATCCTCACTCAACAAACAATTTTATAGAGCCGACATTTAAGTCCCTCTTCAAAAAATAACAATGTCTCCAACTCTACAAGGTCAGAGCCCAATCAACCTCCACAAACGTTGACGACCAATGCTAACATACCGACATTGTAAACTGTAATAATTTTATTAAACCTATTGTTGCTTGTTAATGCTGATGCTGCTGTTGTTGTTAATTGATATATGTCTATATTGGTTAATTGACATAACCAACTTGTAATTTATTATTATTTCATGTGCCCTTCCTCTAAATGTGATTAAATGTCCTTCCTGTGTATAAATGTTGTCAAATATCCTGACATGTAAGTATAAAGGTTAAATGTTAACAATAAATGTACCTAAAGTTTATAAAACGCAGCTAAGGACAAATAATCTGTATTAAAAAAAAAAACATTTTACTTTTATTCTCTGATTTGAGTCCTAATGGGAATATACTAACAAAAGCAAAGATTTTTGTATTGGTTAGTTTTTAAGGTAGTTCTTTGTGCATAAATAACTATAATTTGGCTAATCGATTCAGACCACTTTTATACCCTCTACCATTAGGTGAGAATATATTTTTGTTTTCATTCTGTTTACAACAACTCGAAATATTCGACGGTGTTTTATATATTGATGATCAGAATGAAATTCTTTGTTGATTTAGCTATGTCCGTCCGTCTGTTGAAATCACTGTTGACGTAAAGATTCCAAAATGTTCACACATATTTATACTATACCTAAGTATTTTGAAGAGTTTTACAGCATTTTCCAAACAAACCCGCTGTTCTGAAGCCTTTTCAGTTGCTATCACAGGCAAATTACTTTAACATCTCGGGATTTCAGTTATTTTGAACGTCCAACATGTTTTGAAGGGTATAACAAAACAAAATAATAGTAATAATAACCGATAATTATATTTTGGGGTTCCATATCTCCACCTTACTACGTATAAAATTGGCCTATCAGGCTTGATCTTTATTGCCGAATTATTTATCGCTTAATAATAAACTTTATGATGTTTATTAAAAATTAAATTTTAGATTTTTTTTAATTTGGCCATTTTTTTATTAATGTTAGTTTGAAAGCATGGCTTCGTACGTTCGTATTAAACACTCACAACGATGGAAGACATTTTTTAGTCCCTATGGGTCTTCTTGTATTTGTAATTACTTCTCATCGATATACGAGTATTGTATAGAACATTTTTGTAAGTTATAATAATATGTTCAGAGATTTTAAGATTTTAGGATCTTTTTGGAAAGATTCAGGGAATATAGACAACTGACATAAGCATCGAAACTAATCCTATTTTTATATGAAAACCCAGTGCTTCTCTAGAAGATTTACAATTGTAATTAGTTACAAATTTTACAATGAAATCGAATTATTTTTGTCTTTTTGAAACGACCTCAATTAAGCAAAATATTGATTTATATATTTTTTGTTCGATCACATACTTATCTATTGAGTTCAAAATTTGAACATATGGCAACGAAAAAAAAGGCTGACTAATGGACTAAAACTCATTTGTTCGACATTTTATCAAATATGTTCTGTGTGTATATTTGTTTTCCATTCATTCTGACCACATCGATTTGATTTTTTGGTTACTATTCGAAGTAGGGGTAACAATTAATATTCGATAAGATATCGTCTATCATTATCGTGACCGCATAGTTCATTATGTACATGTTCTGTTCGGTTTTTATGATAGATAAGTTAATATATATATATATATTTTTGTGAATGGTAAACAACAAATGAACTAATTTTCAAATCTATGTATATAGAATTTAATAAATATAGAAAAATAAAGGCAATCTGAATCATAAAGCTACTGGTAATTATTTAAAAATTATTTTGTTGCTATTTAAAAATACTTCGGATTCAACTGATCATCATCACAATGTCCAGCGGGGTGATGTGTAATACAAACCAAGATTATCTAGTTTGCTATCTTTTCGGATTTTTTTTTTCAAGAACCTGTCATCAATTGTTATGTACGTCGACAAACCTCAACATGACGAATGAAATCGCATACCAACAAAATTCAGCTATTTTATTTTTATATATTACGCCATAATAAAAATGGGGTATTAGATTAGAATAAATAATAATATTCTATAGAAATATTTCCAATCGGATTGAGAAGAATATAAATGTTGTTCAATTTGAATAAGGTATATACCAATTATAAAACCACATTAAATTGAAGATCTCCTTTCGCTATATCAAGACAGCATGTCGTATGCTCCTCTATTGAAACTCCCTGTATTCGGGTCATCTATAAATAATGTCTTCAACTCGCCTGTGAAGACTTCATGTCAATTTTTTTTATAAAGATTCCCTATCTTTCGTTATTAATGATAGCAATTGTGGCAGTCGTCACTTCCCAATGTCTTGCGATGCCTTCTCTGCCTTCACCTTGTTTATAAATAATCACTGCCTTCAGTTCATCTATAAGGATTATCTGTCTTCATTTCTTTAATAATAACTGTCATTCGACCTTTTCATAAGTACTTCCTTCAGTTTGTCTTCCTTCGCCTCGTCCATAAAGCCTTCCTTCATAAAAAAACTGCCTTCATTTCGTCTATATATACTCCCTTCATATAAAGACTCCTTCAGTTCTTCCAGAAATTCGTCCATTAATACTCCGCTGGGTTGACAATCCTTGCACGGGCGTCGCCCGGGTCGTTCCGGAGTGTAGACTTCCTCTGGCTTTAAAACTTCCTTCAGCTCTCATATCAAAGACTCCCTTCTATCATTTGGTCTTTGAAATACTTTTTTTAGTTAATCTTTGAAAGCCTTCTTTCAGCTATGAAATACTACAACTTATCTATAAAAATACTCCTCTATGGTCGTCTATGAAAGACTACCTTCAGCTTGTCTTTAAAAAAGACACCCTTTCGCTCGTCTATAATGACTCCCTTCAGCTCGTTATAGAGACTGCCTTCATCTATAGAAAAATACTCTTCTCAGCTAGTCCACAACGACTCCCTTCAGCTCGTATATAAAGACTACCTTTATCTCGTATATAAAAACTTCCTTCAGCCCGTCTAAGAAAGACTTCTCTCAACTCGTTTATAAAGACTGTTTTCGTGGTCTATAAAGACTCACTTCAGCCCGTTTATAAAGACTACCTTCAGCTCGTCTATAAAGACTCCCTTCAGCTCGTCTATAAATATTCCAAAGATTCCATTCGGCTCGTTTTTAAAATCTTTTAATAAAAAAAGTCCTTCAGGTTCCCAAATAAAGATTCGCAACAACCCTCTTCTGCCAAGATGCCCATTAACTTTAGTTCGTTTATAAATTTGTTCTTTAACATGAGCTTCGGATAGTCTCCGAAAAGTTCTGCATCAATATTCAATTTGTTTATGTTTCCAATAATTTTTGAATACAATTTTTAATTTTTTTTATTCTTTTTCAGCCTTATCACTAATTGCCATGGGCGTTATTGGTTTTTGTATTCACTATGCCATAGCACTGGTAATATTGAATAAAGAAATTTCACCAACTGTCGGTATGTTATATCCCAGAGAATCGGAAACACGCGAGGTACGCTCGCTTGATGGACTGTGGAATTTTGTAAAATCAGATCCCACCAATCCAACACAAGGTGTTCGTGATAAATGGTTTACGGACGATTTAAGTCGGGTACGGGATACGATACCAATGCCTGTACCGGCCAGTTATAATGACATTACAACGCAAAATGATCTTAGAGATCATGTTGGAACAGTGTGGTATGATAGGAAATTTTTTGTGCCACGGTCATGGGCCGATAAGCAAAGGGTGTGGTTGCGTTTTGGCAGTGTCCACTATGAGGCATTTGTGGTGAGTACTATTTCTAATTAGGAAATATATTTCGAAATCTAATTTAATTTTCTTTTACTATTCGTTAGTATGTTAACGGTGAAATGGCTGTGCGACATGAAATGGGCCATCTACCATTTGAGGCGGAAATTACGAATTTAGTCAAATATGGTGAAGAGAATCGGATAACGGTGATGTGTGATAATGCCCTTATACAAACCACAGTACCTCAGGGTAAAATTACCGAAGTGTCAAGGTAAGTTTTTTGTTTTTTGAATTAATTAGAAATCTTCTAATATGTCTTATTTTTATTTTTCTAGGGATGATGGTGTTGCCATAGTACAAACTTATACATTTGATTTCTTTAATTATGCTGGTATCCACCGCTCTGTGCATTTATATACAACACCCCTAACCTATATTGAGGAAATGGAAATTACCACCGATTTGGCAAAGGACAATAATGGTAATGCGATTAACACAAGTTAGTAAATCACCGATCAAATTTGTTATAAAAATAATATTCCCTTCCAGTCTTCCAGGTCTTTTAGGTTTTCTCTACCCAAATAATGTCCTCCTGGTCTTCTTTATTTAGAACCTTCTATACATAGAAGACCTCCTTCAAATCTTCTATACACAGACGACCTCCTCATTTAAACATACCAAATTCCCTTCAGCATGTCCAAAGGGGTTGCTCTTCTCCTAAAGGTTTCCTTTAGCTCGCCTATAAAGACTATACTCAGCTCATCTATAAAGATTCCCTTCATTTTTTCTATAAATACTCCCTTGAGCTTATTTATAAAGACTCTCTTCAGCTCGTTTATAAAAGCACCCTCAGCACGTCTATAATTATTCTCTTCAGAGAATATACAAAGTCTATAAATACTCCCTTCAGCTCGTCTATAAAGACTCCCTTCAGCTCGTCTATAAAGACTCCCTTCAGCTCGTCTATAAAGACTCCCTTCAGCTCGTCTATAAAGACTCCCTTCAGCTCGTCTATAAAGACTCCCTTCAGCTCGTCTATAAAGACTCCCTTCAGCTCGTCTATAAAGACTCCCTTCAGCTCGTCTATAAAGACTCCCTTCAGCTCGTCTATAAAGACTCCCTTCAGCTCGTCTATAAAGACTCCCTTCAGCTCGTCTATAAAGACTCCCTTCAGCTCGTATATAAAGACTCCCTTCAGCTCGTCTATAAAGACTCCCTTCAGCTCGTCTATAAAGACTCCCTTCAGCTCGTCTATAAAGACTCCCTTCAGCTCGTCTATAAAGACTCCCTTCAGCTCGTCTATAAAGACTCCCTTCAGCTCGTCTATAAAGACTCCCTTCAGCTCGTCTATAAAGACTCGCTTCAGGTCGTCTATAAAGACGCCCTTCAGCTCGTCTACAAAGACTCCCTTCAGGTCGTCTAAAAAGACTCCCTTCAGGTCGTCTATAAAGACTCCCTTCAGCTCGTTTATAAAGACTTCCTTCAGCTCGTCTATAAGGACTCCCTTCAGTTCGTCTATAAAGACTCCCTTCACCTCATCTATAAAGACTCCATTCCTTAAGATCGTTTATAAAGACATTTTTGTGAAGATATATTAAAGACTCCCATTAGCTCGTATATAATGACTGCCTTCACCTCGTCTGTAAAGTCTCCCTTTATATCGCCTGTAAATACTGCCTTCAGGTCGGTTATAAAGACTCCATTCTACTGGTGTATTAAGTCACCCTTCAGCTCGTCCATAAAGAATCCTTTCAGCTCAGCTTTTCCTTCAGGTCTACTATGAAATAAAGATCTTCATCAGGTTTTCCATAAAAGTCATTAGACTTCAGACTTCCCTAATAAATCCTGGAGAAACAAAACTTCTTAAAGACCTATTATTAACAGAAGGCCTCGACATCCTTCAGATATTCTTTAGGTAGATACATCAAAAATATTTTATACAGACCTACAGGTATTCCATATTCCATTCTCAGGTCTTCTATAGCTAGATACCTCATTCGATTCTACGGTAGACCAAATAACTCGTACAGGTATTCTATAGCTAAATGATCTCTTACCACACTTCAATATATAAATAGGACTAAATGGGTTGAGATTTGAGTTTTACTCTAGAGTATTATAAACTTCGTCCTGATAATTTTTTTAAATATGTATATCATGGCATGTATGTCTTATAATACCTAATATTTTATACCTTTCCTCCTCTCCTTACAGTCGGTTTCGTCTACTACAAAGTTAAGGCCAATGGCACGGCGGCCAATGAAGCTATTAGCAACTTGTACGTGCGTGTTCAGCTGCGCAACAAAGAAGGTGTCATTGTGGCCAATGAAACATCTAATGCCGATTTGAAAGGTGTTCTAGAAGTACAAAAAGTAATGCCCTGGTGGCCATACCTGATGCATCCGGAACCCGGCTATCTTTATCAATTGGAGGTGTTCTTACATGGTAACAATAATGAATTGCTGGATGTTTATCGTCAAAAGGTTGGCATACGTACCTTGAGTTGGAATAATACATCGTTTATGATTAACGGCAGGCCGGTATATTTCCGTGGTTTTGGTCGTCATGAAGATTCAGATGTAAGTGAATGTGGAAATTCTTTATAAATTGTTTTATATTAATTAATTTGATTTTCTTTTAGATCCGTGGTAAGGGTTTGGATTTAGCCCTGATGACAAGAGATTTTAATCTGTTGAAATGGATTGGTGCCAATGCCTATCGTACCTCACATTATCCATATTCGGAGGAGTCTATGCAATTTGCCGATGAAAATGGCATAATGATTATTGATGAATGCCCGAGTGTTGATACTGAGTAAGTATTTTGTTTTGGCGGGATGCATATAATAAGGAATTATATCATAAACTCTTGCTCTTGAATGACATAGACGCCATTCTGCTTCATATTGTTTTATATAACAGTTCTCATGTGAAGCAGCATAGACAAGCCTTCTTCTACATTACTTAGAGTTCTTATACATTTAAGTCCTTCTTCTATAAAAATACTCTTATTATATATCTTCTCTAGGAAGGTTTTATATAGATAAACTATATACATGACATAAACAATTGTATATGCATCGTGTGTTGTTCGCTAACAGGTCTATAATAAATAAATGGTGATCTATGAGGATTTTAAAGGTACTCAGAAGCTTTTCTTCCATTAAAAAAATCACTCGCCAGGAATCCGGAATGCCAAATTACGACCATTTAGGGTAAAAACTGTGGCCTTCGAATAATAGAATATATTTTGGGATCTGTATATTGAGGCTATGGACCTATATCGAAAATTGGATGGAAATGTGGCTAAAAACCCTTTAAATAGCGAAAATAGGACGGTACTATATATTGCAACTATGTTAAAACATGTACCTATAATACTATTCACTACAGTCCCTTCGGTAGGAAACATTCAAAATACCGGAGTGGGAGTTATGTAAAAATATGAATCTATATTCATAATTTTCAGCCCCCAAAATCCCGGAATGCCATATTATAGCCGTTTCGTCTAAAAAAAAATCCACTGTCTGTTGCTATTTAGAGAAATCATTTAGACCTCCGAGGTGTTAAGCTGAGTGGTATCGATAGCATCTTCCTCGTCTGTCAAGGGTGAGTCATCCCAGAGATGGATTGGGATACTTTCCTGACGTAGGGGGAAGGAGCCGGGTTGCTCAATGAAATCGAGGAGAAAGTCTGTTTGTCTCTCCAGGCTCGCGTTGATGTCATCGAGGGCAATGGGGTTTGGAATATCTAAAGAAAGGTCCGGTGACGTTATTAGGGGAATTGCGTTTATAACTGAATCTGATCTTTCAGATTTCGAGACTTAAACTCCTACTTTATGAGGATTTATTTGACATATATGCAAAGGAATTGACAATTGAAACCCACTGGGTTAACGAAATCCGGTTAAATGTAAACGTACTATGAGAGTACTAAGGCAGCCACACCAACATCAGTCATTCGTTGTTGTTTTTGTTTTTAGAAGAATGGGGGGTTTAAAGGGCTCCACAGGATTATTTGTCTGAGGGCATGTTAAACGTTTAACTCAACGTTAGGGAGGTCATTTTAGGAAGGAGCTAGGTCGCTATTCTGGCTTCGTCGAACTTGAGATAATAGGCTCTCCGTAATTTCCTTTTATATTCTCCCACCTAAAACCTGTGACTGCTTATTTGATTCGTGGCTGCCCTATAATTGTTATTGGGCTTCCACAAACTGTGGGCGGGTCCGGTAGCATTCAGTTGTGCTTTTATATAACAAATCTTATGTAAAGCGGCTTTTGTCGAATAGAAATACTTATTTCTGTATAGGTCCACCATTTGGTCCGTCAGTTGTTTTAATTAATTACTGTTTTAATTTTTACTCGATTTGACTTAATAAAATTTATATTTTCCAAATATTTCAACATTTGTTTTTGTCTAATTTCAGAAACTTCAAACAGGAACTGCTCGACAAGCACAAATCATCTATGGAACAACTTATACACAGAGATCGCAATCATCCTAGTGTAGTTATGTGGTCCATTGCCAATGAGCCCCGAACAAATCAATTAAATGCAGGATCATATTTCCAGTAAGTATTACAAATGAGATCACAGGGTCAGAAATGTATTCTATACCAATTGGAGTCGAAAAAACACAGATACGCGTCAATGAGTCTAATATATTTTTCTTCTTTTTTTCAGATATGTAGCCAACTATACCAGAGAACTGGATCCCACGAGACCTGTTACTGCTGCCATTGCCGTGTCTTCAAATGATGATAAAGCTGTAAGAAGAAAACATTTGTAATACCGAATGAGTTATGAAAACAAACTGTTTACTTTTAGGCCAAATTCTTAGATGTAATTAGTTTTAATCGCTACAATGGTTGGTACAGTAACCCTGGACGCTTGGATATGATTACCAAACGAGTAATCGACGAGGCTACAAATTGGTATAAAAAGCACAATAAACCGGTTATAATGTCGGAATATGGTGCCGATACTGTGGAAGGATTACATTTGGTAAACAGAAATAAATAATTCCATAAAATATTCAGAGGTTTAATGACATTTTTTTTAAATAATTACAGCTTCCTGCCTATGTCTGGTCAGAGGAATATCAAACGGAATTGTTTTCACGACACTTTAAAGCATTCGATACACTGAGGAAACAACCCTGGTTTATTGGAGAATTTGTATGGAATTTTGCCGATTTTAAAACGGCACAAAGTAAGTTTCAATACCTTTATGCTAATTTTATAAGAAGTATGATAATTTTTCTCATACTTTTCCAGCCGTAACTCGTGTTGGTGGCAACAAGAAAGGTGTCTTCACCCGCAATCGCCAACCCAAAGCTGTTGCCCATTTGTTACGTAAACGTTACTTTGCCTTGGGTCGTGAAGTCGATCAATGTAATTTCCCCGAAGATCTTTTCACGTATATTGCTGATGTTGGCGCGGCACGCAGTGCCAAACATGACGATACAGATTTATAATCGCCACCTTTAATTTGGGAGCCAACAACCACCAACAGTCGCTCTCTAAATCAATATGATGATGATCATGCTGATGTTTTGTTCTAAACTTTCCACACATTGCATTTTTTTCGTATGCCTTCATTGTTCTTAATTTTCTAAAAGAAAATGTATTTATATATATGTACGTTTGTATTTATCTAAGTTATTGAATTTTTTATAGTTGTATGTAAGTATATTTATAAACAAAACAAAAGAAAAACATATTTATATTTTATTATATAAAGAAAACGGTTATATGTGTCTTTTATGTACATATAGAAAATAGTGAATGATAATAGCAAAAATAAACTATTTTTTATATATTGAACTGGACTGAGATTTTATTTCTTTGGTAATCTAATGTGAGATTTGATTAAAGGTGAGGTGACCAGACTTTTGGGCAAGTTTTTAGAATTCATTCATATTTTCGCTAGAAGTGCTATCATTTGACATTCCGGGTTCGTGTAGAGGGAAATATCATTGGATTGGAAGAGGGTTGTCAGATTATGGTGTTGAGAAAAAAGGAGTCGGATAATTTTTTGTTATATTAATACACACACAAATTTCAAATTCGATCTTGTATATTACGTTATTACTTGCTTCATATTGAATATGTACGTGTAGTCACTTAAAAAACTTCATACTATTATATGTTCGGATTATCATACCTTTATAAGATATAGTCATTAAGATTTAATTATTACATGGAGTAGTATGGTTTGCAATTTATTTAAAATCGGCCTTTGAGGCTTCAAATTGCAATTTTTGAAAGAAATAAATAAAATAAATAAATATGTTATTCACATTGAAAAATTATATGTTGTACGCTCTCAAGCTGTTCACATGCATCGCATAGGTATGTATCTGCAGCGCCTATGCGGTTCAAGAGTCCTTGTCATATGTCACACCAACATTAAGCCTATTTAGGACCTTAGGAGTTAGACTTATTCCTAGATACCATGGTTTTACCAATACAGCCTTAGAAGAAGAATCTTCCTTTTATATTCGCACGTAATGTTCTTTCCATTCAGCAGAGTCTATGTACAATATTTCTTTCCGCATCTTTTGGCGTGAGTTCAAAATTAATCGGTGCATCAACGTGCATACCATGCCTTGCTAACCGATCCACTTCCTCATTAATATTGATGCCCACATTGCCTGGAAACCAGACCACATGGCAACTTCCAACACTTGCTTATTCCAGGATGTTGTGGCATTCATCAACCAGAAAGTTATCATCCCTACCAGAGCCTAAAGCCTCACTGTCCGTAAAGATGACAAATCTGCTGCAATTATCCTCAGCCGCTATCTCAAACACTTTACGCAAGGCATAAAGTTCGCCGAACATAGACGAGGATTTTAAATTGGTACGGAAAAGAAAACGTTCATCCTCTGTCACACTATAAACTCCACATCCAGCGGAACATTCGCCGACAGATACATCGGTGGCAAATAAACAATTTTATTGTTTTTATAATACGCCATCTCACCGCCGCATACGCCGCTGTTATTACTTCCTTGGGAGTATTATGTTTCGAAGAAGGAAGTAAGTTGGTCCGAATATGGACTTGAGAAGCTTGAGGTGTTTAGGATGATAGTTTTATGTTCTTAAAAATATCAACAAACTCGTGGAAGATGGCGCTGTAGCTGGACTTTACTAAAGGATTGTCCTCAATAATGTTGTATAAAGACCCATTGTTCCGTTTGATTTTAATAGTTTCCTTGCCAGTTAGGATCTGCGCTCTGTAAATGGGAGGTATTTCTCTTGCAGGCGCATACATAACATGTGATGGTGTCGGTAAAGCAACACCTAAGACTCCCTCAAAATATCATTTTGTAGCCTTTCTACGCCTTTGTTGATATCTGCAGGAGCACGCGCTGTCGTTGTTCTGCCATACTCCACTTACGATCTAACAATGCTTTTGTATACATTCAGAGCTATTTGTGGGTGAAGTCCACCCTTCACCGAAGTCAAACATTTCATTAGGTTCGTCCTATTGTCTATATCCTCCTTAAGACACCCAATTTAAGATTGCAGGGTTCTGTACAAGAATCTGCGACGAAGATTTTCACGCTCGATGTTTGGTTTTAATTCAGAGCTATGAGGATGTTATGAACATGCAGGATTGATGATGTTCTGGAAATTCATTTCTGCGTCTACGCATTCATTTATAATGCCACAATTCATGGTTGATATTGAAATTTCCTAGCACCAGGCGATTATTGCCTTCCAAGAGATGGCTAATGTCAGGCGAATAACACGGAACCAGCTATTTAACGGTTGAAGGTATACGTTAACTCGGCGGTACCACATTTGACTGCTACGTCCACTCGTTCCATTGAAATTGCGAAATTGCTGAATTTAACACGTCGGTTTAATGGAGATTGAAAACCCACTTTGCAGAAAATTGTCAGTATACGTTCATGACAAACGCCCAAATAATGTTTCCGCACTAGTTACAGTATTTTGATGTTTCTAGGTGCATTTTTAACCGAAGTGAATGTAATCTGCTATTCAGGTTTCTTGAAGTTCCTAGCTTAGTTTTCCAATAACCTTATTGTTTGTAATTTGGTTTTTATATTTGATAGAGCATAAGCAATCTACTAGAAGCCAATTTACCATAACATGGTCCAACTATAAAGGTCCCCATAATTTCACTACATAGCGGAGGGTATGAAAAATTCGGTCTGGCTGAACGTATATCTTATTTTCTAGAATTAGACCCTTTAGGGATTTAATACATCGTGGACATGCGTTTCTATTTTTTACAGCCAGAATTTTATAACCTTCAAATATTATGCATTACATTTCTAACACGTGGACATACAAAAAAGATTATTCATCTTTGTTTAGTGTTAATATAAGTAAAACTGTAAGTCTAATATAGCTGATCCGCCTGTTGAAATAAGTCCACGTTTAGGCATTTCGCACAAAACGCAAGAATATGTTAATAAGGCAAAATATGTTACTTGTTATATTAATAAAAATCACGTACATGCTAGAGCTTTTTATACCCTTTACCACACTGTGGCAGGGTATTATGTCTTTGTGCATATGTTTGTAACAGGCAAAAATAATCGAGATAGACCCACGGTTCCTTTTGAGAATATGTATAGAATCACTTTCTGATTCTATACATATTCTTTCGATTTGCACGAAATTTGCCATAGCGTACTGAATTAAGTGTAGAATGATGTGTGAAAAGTTTCCTTTTAGCTCCCATATATAGATTTTAGGTAAATGTTGTATGTCCCTATATATATTTCGATTTTCATTTGGCACTTTGAATTAGGTCTAGATTGATGTGTGCTAAGTTTCGTGAAAATCGATTTAGATATAGCTCTCATATATAGTCCGAATATGCATAGAATCACTTTCCGTCCATGTATTTTTGTGAACAAAGTACAGGTCGCATTTATCATCCGATTTGGATGAAATTTGGCAAATGTCACTTATTTGGCCTAAGGACGAACCCTATTGAAATTGAAGACAAACCGGTTCAGATTTAGACATAGCTCCCATACATAGTGTAGAATGATGTGTGAAAAGTTTCGTGAAAATCGGTTCAGATTTAGATATAGCTCCCATATATAGTTTCGCCCGATTTTAGGTAAATGTTGTACCAAAGTCCCTATATATATTTCGATTTTCACGAAATTTGGCGCAGCATAATGAATTAGGTCTAGATTGATGTGTGCTAAGTTTCGTGAAAATCGGTTTAGATTTAGATATAGCTCTCATATATAGTTTCGCCCGATTTTAGGTAAATGGTACACTAAAGTCCCTGGAAATCTTTTGATTTGCACGAATTTTGGCATAGCATACTGAATTAAGTCTAGAATGATGTGTGAACAGTTTCGTGAAAATCGGTTCATATTTAGATATAGCTCGCATATATATTTTCATCCTATTTAAGGTAATTGGTGCACCAAAGACCCTATAATTTTTCGATTTGCACGAAATTTGGCATAGCCTACTGAATTGCGTCTATAATGATGTGTGCTAAGTTTCGTGAAAATCGGTTCAGATTTAGATATATATATATATTTTCGTCCGATTTTTTGTAATTGGTGCACCAAAGTCCCATATATATTATTTGATTTGCACAAATTTTGGTATAGGGTACTGAATTAAGTCTAGGATGATGTTGTAAAGCTTCGTGAAAAGATCCATAGCTAGGACGATTGACACAACGTATTGATGTAATATAAATTAATATCTTGCAAGTTTCTCTGAAATCGGTTCAGATATAGATATATAATAAAAACGTGTCGTCTGTTAGGATACATATGTAGAATATACCCAAAGTGGTGAAGGGTATTATATAGTCGGCCCAGTCCGACTTTACTACTTTCCTTACTGGTTTTAATAATGCTTTGTAACATTTGGTTATGTTACCTCTAAAGAGATTTTAAATTTCAAATCGGATCCCGGTTTCGGATTCCGGCAGAGAAAGTCAAATTCTTTTAACGTGATTTTTGAACATTTGTTAGAAGGGGCTTACTTCATCTCCAGATGAAATGTATCCGAAACCTCCTACCATTGTAATAACCTCGGTTTCAACATAATAACAAAAATGGAAATGGCACGAGATAGCAGCACCTTGAGGAAAATGGGAAGATAAATAAGCAAGGGCAACGACCACAGTATAAAACAATCAATGATACATTGTTTCCAGAAAACCCCACCACCTGGGACAGACTAAAGCAGACAAATCATCTACTTAGCTGGACTACAATGATTAACGAAACTAACAATAGGAGTAACAGCAAAAAATAAGCGAATACAACTGTAACAGTAATAAATAATTTATTGTATGTAGGCCTTGATTACCTGTGATTTTACTTGCGATATTTACAAATTTACTAGGATAATGTCGTGTATCTACTTTTAGTTCACCAAAATATAAATTAACCCAATATCATCCCACAGTGTTATTTTGTCCACCACTGTACACCGTAGCATCATATTGACTAATTTAATCGTTAATGTTTTTAGATAGACGGTGTTAATTCTCACAAAATGTCAAATGCTATTCAATCGCACCGTCATCATAATCGTCATTTCGTATACGAAATTATCAGCACCAACAGTAATTAAATAAACAAATTACATGCAAATGAACTTTTGCCGTTTATCACTTGTTTAATGGTCATTGCAAGATGCCGGGAAACATCGACAGACAAACATACAGTGGAAAGATAAAATCAATGAGAATGTTTTTTTGTCCATAGCATAATTAAAAAATAATAATAATTAACATTAAATGTTTGGGGGTTCCACTGTTCTATGAGAGTAAGAAATATTCCACAACCATAATCAGCTGTTTTTATGCTCCGAAACTTTAACGATAGAGCAAATGTTTTTGTTTTTACCATTCAGAAAGCGCCCCACACTCCGAATACCGGCAACAATACCCGTTTGATAAGGAAAATCAACAAACAACCCCGGTGCTTTTTTGTATAAACAAATAATTTAAAGTGTAAACATTTAATGGGGTTTTGGCAAAGTAGACATATGGTTACCCTAAATATAAACATTTGATGGTACCAAAGTACATTCTCATCTCATGATGTCCATTTTGGAATGAAAAATGTGTCCGAGACAGTATATCTTGTATCTCTTTCTGATATCCTCTGTAAAAACGAAATACCAAATTGCACACATGAAAAATTACAAGTTCGAAAATTCGACTAGGACCTTCAATATACCGAAAATGACAATTTGAAAACGGTGCTTATGTCAGAACATGGATCTGCATTGAAAATGTTCTTGAAAGGGGTTTTTGCCCCACCAAGAACACGTAATGTCAAATTACAAGCACTTCTTTTCGAACACGCACCTGTCACAATGCTTAAAATGGGTGAATTTTAAATGGTGGTTATGTCAAAACGGGACTAATATTGAATTTTTGTTTGCATTGATGTATTTTGCAACCCCTAATGTCAAATTATAACCCCCATGGTTGGAATATGCGCCTATGACCATCAAAATACCAATAGAGGGACCTTTAGTTAAATAATAATTCTAAAATATAAAATTTAAGAAAAAAAACTCAAAATTCCGAATATTGGGAGGGTAGCATTAACTCTTTCAGTGTTTTTGTCGAATATATACGACATTTAAAATTACTCTCTTCTTTTGCAAATTTTCGGTTGTCCTATGTACCGTTACAATTGATGTCTTTGTTTTTGCTGAAAGACAGACAAAACTGTCCGAGGGTTAAAATAAGAATTGCTTTTTTTTCTAAACTCTGTGCCTTCATACGATTTTAAGTACAAAATTTTAGATTTTTATTCCGACAAAATTTTTTTTTGACACTGAAAGGGTTAAAACTGTACAACCTATGCTAAATTTAATTTCAATCGGAAAGATTTAGTCATTTGATTTCAATGGGATTAATTGATTAATTAAAATGAAGTTGGTCGAAAATATATGTGGAAGCTATGTCTGAATCCGCAATAATTTCTACAAAATACAATAACGCCATTCTATGCTCAATGTTATGTATGTGAACCGATTTTCACCAATTTCAATAGGGTTCGTCCTTGGACCGAACAAATGAGCTGTACCAAATTTCATCCAAATTGTGTAAATCTGATGAACATAAATTTGTTGGGGCACCATTTATTATCTTCGGACGAACATACATGTATATGAGAGATATATGTTAATCTGAGCCTATTTCAAAACTTGACACACGTTAAGCTGTACTAACTTCAGTGTATTATACCAAATTAAGAATTAATCTCCAAACTTTGACACTTTGGTGCACCAATCGAACGAATATTTGTATCTATATCTACATCTGAACCGATTTCAAAAAAAAAAAAAAAAAAAAAACTTGACACACGTTGGGCAAAATTTTGTGTCAATCGGTCAAACGAATGGAGTTTGGGCATTATACGCTATGGTTTTCCAATAATGGTCTTAATCGGATGAACTTGGGAGTTTACATCGAATCGGGCCAATATATAAGGGATATATCTTAATCTGAACCGATTTTCAACATACCACACAACATTCTAGACTCAATTTAGTACGCTATGCCAAATTTCCTGCACATCGAAGGATATATAGGGACTATCGGACGAAAATATATATGTGAGCTATATCTCAATCTGAACAGATTTTCACGAAATTTAACACACATTGCTCAAGACTTAATTGAATTTTTTTCAATTTTGTCCAAATCGAAGGATATATAGGGACTTTGGTGCATCATTTACAAAAAATCGGACGAAAATATATATGATAGCTATATCGAAACCCTATTTTCCCGAAACTTGCCATTCATTATTCTAAACTCAATTCAGTACGCCATGTCAAATTCCGTCCAAATCGAAAGTTATACAGGGACTTTTGTACACTATTTACATAAAATCGGACGAAAATATATATGGAAGCTATATCTAAATCTGAACCTATTTTCACGAAACTTAACAGGCTCATTTCAGTATGCTGTGCAAGAAATATAAGGGCTTTGGTGCACCATTTACATAAAATCGGACGAAAATACATATGGGAGCTATATCTAAATCTGAACCAATTTTCACCAATTTCAATAGGGTTTGTCCTTGGGCCAATCATTTCATCCAAATCGGATTATGAATGCGACCTGTACTTTGTTTACAATTTAACACCAACAGACGGACGGAAAAAATTTCACCTCATGGCGATGTCCTCACCAGAATGCCAACAAAATCACACTATTTTAAAATCTGAACCCTCGAAGAACGAATTAATTTTAAAATGTCTTGTTCAAGTTTAAGTCCATTGAGATATAATTTCGTTTCATTTCATGTAAATCGTTCGCCAAAAATCCAATGTGTTCAAATTAACACGACTTTAGACTTAAAGCTAAAATTAGCAGGGTGCGCAAAAATTCGCTCGCGAATGATTCAAAATATAAATAATACTTTACCAAACGAGCATTCGCCAAAGAATGTTCGCACACACATAAAAAACGAGTGAGAGCACACAACAACGTTCGTTCGTTTCGTTTGGTGGTTGAAATTCTTTCTGAAACAAACATTCCCGAATTCTCGCGAATGCTCAAAACGGCAACAAAAAAAACAACAAACGTTCGTTAACTCAATAGTTGTTGGACATGTGTTTTGTTATTCCACACACTTTCTGCTACACACACATTCATTCGTTGTGTGTGTATTTACTTTTTTATGATATTATTGTTTGTTGTTGTTTTTAACAGTGCTCGCGAGCATTCGCGAACATCTGTTTTTTGAGTTTTTCAAAAGAATGTTCTTCAGCAACAAATGTTCGCGAAAGAATGAATCGACGACGCCTGCAGCGAAATTTTATCTTTCGTGATTTTTTCGTACAATGCCAACATTCGCGAGAGATTGCAAATGCTTGTTCATTCATTGTAAATTTATCATTCGCGATAAATTGAAAACATTCGAATTCTCGCCCGTGAGCATTCGTGAGAAAGAGCGCATTTTAATCATTCTTCGCACCCTGAAAATTAGGTAAATCTGAATCGGTTCAGATTTGCATATAGCTTCCATATATTCTCGTCCGAGTTCATGTAAACGGTGCACTAAAGACCCAATGTTTACTCGGTTGAAACGAATTTTATACCCGACCGACTTTGCTTACTGGTTAACTGTACAAACAGCATGATAAACCATCAAGACCCTCCCAACTTCTGTAGCGAATGAATGCATACAATTGCAAAAAATTCAATTATTCTCACATAGAATTAGCAGCAGTAAAGGGGTATTATGAATTAATTGCAGAAGGGTGGAGCAATAGTAGTTGTGCGGGGAGTGCATAATAACTCAAGTTGTCATTCAGCCTGCCAGTCAGTCTAACAGAAGTCATTGTTTGGTTTAGTTCGTGGTCGGGAATAAAACAGCGGATTATGTGACTACAACAAAAATTGCAACAACAAAAAGACACTAAATTTTAAACAAAAATAAACGAGTTCACATTAATTTATTTACAAAAATTCCGTTTCCACTTCCACGGTGATTCGATGTGGCGTTATTTGTGCATTGTGCTGGTTCTCGGAGTACAGTACGGTTTAGCCGGCAAATTAAATAATGGTGCAAAATCGGTGATTAAAAAAGATCCGCCCCTAACGCAAGGGCTATTGTATCCCTTTGAATCGGAATCGCGAGATGTTAGGTCCTTAGATGGTATGTGGCGTTTTTTGAAAGTTGCTTATAATGATTCTATGAAAGGTGTGGAGGAAAAATGGTTTGAACGGGATTTGGATAAGGCAAGTGGAACGGGGAACTAATAAAAATAATAGAATTGGAGAGATATTAAACATCTGGCATTGGTTTACAGGTAAACCCCACTCTAGCAATGCCTGTGCCGGCCAGTTACAATGACTTGACCACAGATGAATCATTAAGGGATCATTTAGGTGTTGTCTGGTATGAAAGGAAATTTTTCGCGTCCTATGATTGGTCATTGGATAAACGCGTTTGGCTACGTTTTGGCAGTGTACATTATTCGGCAGTTGTGGTAAGTTGTTCTGTTGATATTTGAATTCATTGTCCAATAGAGTTGTGTGAATTTTTCTTTTTTTTAGAAAACAAAGAAAATATTTTTATTTATTTTAATTTGTTTTTTAATTATAAATATTTTAACGTAAACTTTAAGGGCATTGACTCATCGTCCGACTCATCGTAAATAAAGAAATTTCAATGGGGTTTAAAAGTAAATATAGGAGATGAGTTGCTAATAAAACTTATTACGGGGTTTTCATACCTAAACCGCAATAGTGGTTCCGTTCAAGGACAAAAATCAAGAACCCCATGTCTTCTTTATAAAGTGGATTCAATTACAACTATCCGTCTGTTGAAATCAATACAGAGATCTCAATACTTAAGAAAGAGCCTTAAAATTTTGAACATAGATTGATAATATTCCTGAGGATATTTTCAATTTAAAATGTGCCACCCCATTTTCGGTATTTTGAATGCTCAAAGTTAATGTTTTGAGGTATTTAAGGTAATTTGAAGACTTCAGACGCATTTTCCAGCAAAGAATTCTGTAATTTGATATTCCAAATCTTTGGAACATAAAAATAAAAATAATCGTAAAAATTATAGGTCCATGGAAGCGTCTGTAATTTTGGAATTCTGTATTATTATAGCGTAAAGAGACTTATTTTTAGAAAATGTTCAATAAGTCAATATTTTAACATGGTTCCCATTTTTCGGTAGCCATATATTCGGATTAAGTCTAGTTTAAGGCCCGATCGTGGACAGTTTTTAAATTGTTTATCAATTTAATGCTGTTGAGGTTCTGAGAAAATTCTTTCGCGTAACTGGAGTTGGAACCTGCCCATAGAAAGATGTTTTGAATTCCCGGCCGAATGTCGCCCATCCACAAATCCTTCTTCCCCTATCTTGCTCGATACATTTGTCGAGCTTAAAAAAAAATTCCAAGCGCATCGATGATGTGCACAGTTTTCCAATGTCTAGACCATGTCTAGATATGTTATATTTCACTTGATCTTTCCATCGAATTCGTGGCCTTCCCCTTATCGCTTTTATATGTCTTTTGAGCTGGGACATACTCATCTATTCTCACAATATGGTCTGGCCGTAATCGCTACAGCTCGATACGTCTGACAATGTCGATGTCCGAGTATATATGGTGTTTCATTTCATGGTCCTGTTTCTAAACTCCTTACTCAGACTATGGTTGCATCTCAGGGCAAACAGTATCATTTTCCGAATTTCAAAACTGATGTCAATAGTTTAATTTATAGCGGTATCTAGGTATATAACATCGTTGACAACCTCAAAGCTATAGTTTTCAAGTTCCCCGGTTGGTCCGAATCTATTGGCCATCTTGCGCGTTGATACCATTCGACTGGTCTTCCATTTACTGTCAGGTCCCACCATTTACTGTGAGGTCCCACTTTGGCAGACTCATTCTCAATTCGTTCAAAGGTGGCTGTTACCGCTCGCAATGTTCGATCCGTTATGTCGATGTCCTCGGCACAGACGAATAACATCTGCTGTTTAGTGTACATAGTGCCTTTGCATCTCGTATGACCGTTTCCAGAAGGATGTTAAAAAGGTCACACGACAAATTGTCACCTTGTCTGAATCCTCGTTCGTTATTGAACGGCTCCGCGAGGTCCTTTCCGACTTTAACTGCTGACCTTGTGCAAATCGAAATATTTACAGGGACATTTACATTAAATTGGACAACAATATATATGGGAGCTATATCTAAATCTGAACCGATTTTCACCAATTTCAATTGGGTTCGTCCTTGGGCAAATAAATGAGCTGTACCAAATTTGATCAATATCGGATTATAAATGCGACCTGTACTTTGTTTACAATTTAACATCAATAGACAGACAGACGGGCGGATGGGCAGGCATAAATCGACTCAGAAAGTGATTCTATGCATATTCTCAAAAGAAACCATGGGTCTATCTCGATTCATTTTGCCTGTTACAAACCTATGCACAAAGGCATAGTACCCTGTACCACAGTGTGGTCAAGGGTATAAAAAGAAGGTGAAAACAAAATGGTTATAGGGAAAATTCGAATGCCGAAGTACGAATTTCCGCAAGAAAAAAGGTATTTGGTTATTACCAAGACCTCAAGAACTACCAGTGTTAAAATTTGTTCCGCATTTTCCCATCGAAGTGGTTATAGTTTGGCATTCTCAGATGTTCCGGATTCTTAGAGGTTGAAAACATCTAGATCGACTGCGACCTGAAGACAAATTAGTTGGTTTAGCTGGGTAGTTGAGTATATGCAGCATATCGTGAGGTCCTAGGTATTTGTCTTGTATGGTGCTGTCAATTCGGGCGCAGTACGAATTAAGTCTGAGCGCTATTGCTTTTACACAATGAGCTGAAGTGACATACGTTGGCCAAGTAAGACTCGATCGATCGATCCTGTTGAACAAAGCGCTCTGTCTTGTATCGTTGAACATCTTTCTCTAGATCGTGAAGGTCATCCTTACTTGCCTGGGTTGTGGGTGAATCCTATCAATGGGGGTAATGCCATGAATGATTCCGCTAATAGCACCCAAAAAGTGCTACATCGACTACATCCACTTGTATCGATGTGCCTCATTGCTTAACACCGGCCGTCCTATTGTTTTGTAAGAGGTGAAAAAGGTTTCTTCGAGGACCTTGTCGGCAAGCGATTCGAGGATCTTGTTCGTACTACTGATTTTGTCGCAAGTAACAGCGGATTGAGCGGATGACTAATCAACGTTGTTCGCAAAATGTTCGGGTGGTTTGTTCAGCAGAAGCTTTATTTCATGTGGTGAACAGTGTGTCTCAAATTAAAGAACTGTACCAAATCAGCTATATGTCATCGATAATGGGACCCGGTTTCATGCCGTCCGTATGCGAGATCCACCGAAATTGTTCTATTATACGGCCTGTTTAAGCCCTTTACTTATATGTATGTGTGGTTTTTGCTTGTATTGCTGTATAATCCTCCACAATTCAAATCGATGTTGGGAAACTTGGAACCTACTTCTCACCATAGGGAGAAGTAGTGACTCAAACGTATTGGCTACTGGGGACAAATGTAAAATCGGCTTGTAGGATTAACCTTTTAATTAAGTAGCGGAATCACCTCGCCTAATTTCTATACTTCAAGAACAACGACTGGTTGAGTTCAGCTTTTAAATACTCCACTCCAGGCTCATCTAGGTTTGTAGGAAATTACAGAGTAACAGACGAATGGAAAAATGGCGCTTAATGTCCTACAACACCTAACAAAAAATTAATATGCGAGAATAAGCCGGCTACAATGTTGCAAAGCTTTATGTGGTCTATTCCAGTATGTCGATTATGCTCGCATATTAAACTGTTGACTTCGAGGGTAAGCTCTTTCAAAATTGGGTCTTCAAATGTTGTACGCAATTGAGCGCCATTATTCGATTCACTAATCAGTCGAGAGAGACTGCTTTTAATATAATCGGATTATGGATATCTAATTACGTTCAGAAGTGTGGCCTATTTTATTATATATTTTAATATATCGATAAAATATAATTATAAATATATAGAGATCTAAAATTTCAATACAATGTAAAACGTTTTCACACAAATGTATAATTTATTTAATTTTTTTAACAGTGGCTCAATGGCGTAGAAGTCGTTCAACATGATATCGGTCACTTGCCATTTGAAGTGGAAATAACGGATCATTTGAAATTTGGTGCTCAAAATCGTCTGACAGTGCTGTGCAATAATACCCTAACACGTTCAACAGTGCCACAGGGTGATGTGGTCAAACTTTTGACAGATGCCGGCAATAAAACATATCAAACGTATACATTCGATTTCTTTAATTATGCCGGTATACATCGTTCGGTGGTGTTATATACTACACCCAAAGTCTATATACAAGATATACACATAACGACAGATGTGATAGTGCAGCCAAACGAAGACGAGGAAGAAGAAGTGGTAGAAGAAAATTCAGGAAATATTGGAATAATTGATTTTAAAGTAACCATTGCTGGAATAGATACCAACGAAGTTACGGAATCACCCGTATTTGAATCATATTATTTACATATACAATTACGAGCAGCTGATGAAATTGTCGCCCATGAAATGTGTAAAGGGAGGGCATTTAATGGAACACTTAGGGTGAAAAATCCCATACTATGGTGGCCATATCTCATGAATCCCGTCTATGGTTATCTATATACTTTGGAAATATATTTGCATTCAGCTGCAGATGAATCGCTGGTCGATGTTTATCGAATGAAAGTTGGTATACGTAAATTGCAATGGGACGAGACAAGTTTTTTGCTAAATGGTCGTAAAGTTTATCTGCATGGATTTGGGAGACATGAGGATTCGGATGTGAGTATTTGAAATTTTATGTTTAAATATTATAAATAATTTTGATGGTTATTCATTACAGTTAAGAGGAAAAGGTTTAGATTATGCCTTGCTAACACGTGATTTTAATCTTCTGAAATGGATTGGAGCCAATGCCTATCGTACTTCACATTATCCTTATTCGGAGGAGTCAATGCAATTTGCCGATGAAAATGGCATCATGATTATTGATGAATGTTCAAGTGTCAATACCGAGTGAGTTGGATTTAAGACTCTGACATTTTATAAGGGGTCTTTTAATATTGTCTTTATATTTCAGTTATTTTGGAGCCGAACTCTTGTACAATCACAAATCAGCCTTGGAACAATTAATACATCGTGATCGCAACCATCCCAGTGTTATAATGTGGTCAATTGCAAATGAACCCAGAACACAAAAGAATCAATCTGAGGCATATTTTAGGTAAATATTCTAATTCGATCTACTAGAAACTAAAGACATGTGGTAGCAACTGTGTTTTGGAACAAATAATCTTAGGGAATTAATGTTAGGATTTAATAGCATGATTATTCGGATTAAAGGGTATATAAAGTATGATCCGCTCAGTACTATTTCCCTATTCACCGACAGGTTAATTGCTTTATCGAGGAAGTCTATTGGGCCACCAACTTATTTGTATATTACCATAAACTGCTACAAATGATCAGCACTTCCTGCAACAGCCCTAATCAAAAATCGACGTATTAACAATCGAATCCCCTGGGAAGAAAATCATTAATAACCAGGGTGCGCAACAATTCGCTCGCGAATGATTCAAAATACGTTCTATTCGTTTAATGCTCATTTTACGAATGAATTTATGGCGATAAATTCTTTACCAAACGAGCATTCGCCAAACGAATGTTCACACACGCATAACATTGGTATTTAAAACCCAACAATAGTCATTTCGTACACCAAAGACCACAGAAAGATGTACCCACAAAAAAAAAAAAAAATCCGCAGGAAATCTCATCAAAACGTACGGCTGTCGATTTTCATTTAAGGGGACCCCCCCCATTCTCGGGGCCAAAATTTTTGTTGATATAATTCGAATCTACACTGATTAAAGAATGTCTCTACAAAATTTCAAGTGAAAATCTCAAGAACTCTTGAAGATATATCCGATTTATTGTGTCAGCTTCAAGTGACGGCTGAAGGGCTTCTCAAACTTTAAACGCGTTTTTCTCTAAACATTTTTTTGCGAATGGCGGGCACGATAACTCAAAAGCTAATAATCCAATCGGTTCCAAATTTTGCTACGTTTCTCTGCGAGTTTATAGCTCTCGTATGAACTAGTATACAGCCAATCGGTGAAGATCTTCCTTATTTTTTAACTTGGTTTTTGGTAAAAAATCGGCGATTTTCCAAAAATATTTTTTCAAAGGTCCACCATTTTGTTAATTTTAGAGCGAAGTCAATAATCCTAGTTCATACGAGAGCCAGACATGTACTCTTTCTAACACCGTTGGAATTTTCGGATTCCGATGTTCCAGTGAGGAGTTATCATGCCCGCCATCAAAAATAAGGCCTTTTTTTAATTATTTTTCTTCTCTTTTAAATCTTCAAATATATATGTGCAAAGTTACAAACCTTAACAAGCATTGGTATTGATTTACCAGCCCATTGAAAATCGTGAAAAATTAAAATCGAGAATGGGTGGGGTTCCCTTAAGTCCTATACCACCACAGTTACAGGCAGAATTCCTGTAATGAGAACATATTATCCGCCCAGGACCTCTAGATTGGCACAGCAGCTCCACCAACTTCTTGCTGCAGTTAAGCGCTAAAAAAGATTATTTGGTCCTTGAGCATAGGTGCTCTAAATGATTAAAACACCTTAACCACTGCAATATAAATTCTAAGCAGCAACAATAACGAGTCTATCTGGTTCCAAAAGAAGTAATAATCTCCCTGATATTTTCCTTTAGATACCAAGAAATGTGCATTGCCGTTCTAGTGCCAACTCATTGATCTTTGCAGAGCAGAAGCAAGCGAACAGTTATCAGAAGGTACAAAAATCTTAAACGAGAAATTCACATCCAGCGAGCTAGAGACAATTATCTCCAAATCCATACCATCCAAAGCCCAAGATCCAAATGGCATTTCCATATTTAAGTTATAGAAGCATGGTGCAATAGAGTTGGGTATTCTGACCTAAATTCAATGTCACAGTTAGTAATTCCTATTATTTGGATAGTTTCCCGCATTATTCCAATTCTAAAAGTAGATACATCCGCTACTATTTGGGAATTTCCCCGCCCGATTTCTCTTACTATCCATCAACATTTTTTTTCAGGGAACCATATTGCACAATAAAAGCTTTGCAAGAAATTACTTACTTCCTGAACAGAACAATGTAGCAGTCTTAGATCTGTCCAAGGCGTTCGATAATCATTCGTCGATCATTCCGAACTGATATCGGACATAACAAATTCCATCCTTCCGAGTAATATCAAGCGTTGGCTTGCCAACTACATTAAAGTAGTCGGCAGTAGTCGAATTGAGATAGATCGCCAAAATGTTGCATAGAGTTGTCTTCTGTCTGCTGGCAAGTCAAGATTGAAGATGGGCTATATCGGTGCACGTTAACATAACGTAGCTACCCATTAAGGGTACCCTCAATTTTCGGTACTTTTGGGTTCTTGTGGGCGTTTTTCAGTTGAATTCGTTGAAATTTTGTACATCGGGTTCTTATTGGGTATCAAATTTCTACACTAAAATCATACATATAGGGCCACTTTTTCTGATAGCCTCCTATATAACTGTACCCCCCCTAATTTTCGGCATTTTGGGGCTCTTGAGAGCGCTTTTCAACTGAATTCGCTGAAATTTAGTGCAATAGGTTATAATTTTGTACCAAATTTGTCCACTAAAATTATAAATATCGGTCCACTTTTCTGGTATACCCCCCAAATTTTTGGCATTTTGTGGTACTTACATTGGGTTCTTATTGGTTACCAAATTTCTCCACTAAAAATTATAAATATAGGTCTACTTTTTTTCTGGTAGCCCCCCATTTCTGTATTTTGAGGTTTTGAGGTTATTTTTCGACCGAATTGGTAATTTAGTACTTTTAGTTCTTCTCTCTCTTCTTCTCTCTACTAAATATTATATAATATAATATAGGTCAATTTTTTCGGTAGACCCCATATAAGGGTACCTCCCAATTTTCGGTACTTTTAACCGAATTCGCTGTAGTTTGGTATTTTGTAGTCGTATATGGTAACGAATCTCCCTCCCAAAAATTATTAATATTCGCCCCCTTGTAGTAGTCCCATATAACCCCCTTTTTATAATAGGGGGAAGTATGGAATTCAAAGACGATTTAGCCATCGATTGAATTCATTCTACCTTCGGAGGATATCGAGATAAAAACTAAAACGTCAAGTTTGAGAATGAAATATATCAACCCGCATTTAGGCCTAGCATATAGTGATACCTACCCAATTTTCGGTATTTTTATTTTAATATTTAGCGTATAGCCTCCAGGGACCTACACATTTTCTACTGCACTGACAATTTTCATATTGAACCAGCAGCTTCCACCCACCCCCGAAATAAAATCTTCATATAACTTTGCCCTCAAAATTGCAGTATTTTTGGAAATTTTATACACATTTTCTCCATTAAAAATTGGATGCGTTAAAATTTGATTATGTGCAGGTTGAGACTGAGGGTGCCAAGGCATCAACATCAACATCGAGTTTTTATTTTTTTATCGGGCTTATGTATTATCGATATCAGCGAAGTGACTAGGGTCAATTTTACCCTCTTACTGTTGCTTAATTTTGACGAACCTCTCAATTGTTCGCCTAATATATATGATATAGGGGAACCAATTTTCATCTCGTCGATCAAGGATCACTGTCACATGGTTATTTCAGCTATTATACGGTATCTGAAATAAGATACCGTGTGCTATTTCATCCATATAGCATGTTAGGTAATCAGAAGGTTGCAGGGTATTCTATAGATTTTACCGCTAATATGTTCTTAGTGTCTCTATGAATCTAAAATTAATGTCAATATTCAGTTTATTTTTACATTTCTATTAAATTTTCTACAAATAAGTATATTAATAACATTTCTTTATTTTTCAGAGAAATCGTGAGATATGCCAAGACATTGGATCTTAGCAGACCAATAACGGCCGCAATTAATGTGGAAATTGGTAAAGATAAATTGGTATGTAAATTAAATTAACATTTATTATCACGGCATTCATTAGCAAACACACCGCAAAACTTTATAAAAAATGTAAGAAAGTTAACAGAAAAATCCCTTCTTAAGATTCTTGTAATGATAAAAAGTATTCGAATATACCTTACTATGTAGATTAAAATAAATCAATTTTGAATATTTTTGTAGGCTCAATTTCTGGACATCATCAGCTTCAATCGTTACAATGCCTGGTATCACAATGCTGGTCATTTGGATAGCATTTCAATAAATGTCAAAACCGAAGCAACTAATTGGAATAAAAAGTACAAGCGTCCGATAATAATGTCTGAATATGGTGCCGATACATTAGAAGGTTTACATTCTGTAAGAAAGAAATAATATTTGGTGCATTAGAAATGAATTTTAATAAATTAATTATTTTAGTTACCTGAAACAATTTGGTCAGAGGACTATCAAATTGCGCTGTTCGGTCAACATTTTAAGGCATTCGATTATTTAATACAACAGAAATGGTTTATCGGAGAGTTTGTATGGAATTTTGCTGATTTTAAAACAGAACAAGGTTGGTATTTTGTTTTCATTGCAATACAACGTATGATATTTATAATTCATATTTTTGTAGCCTATACCCGAGTTGGTGGCAATAAGAAGGGCGTATTTACCCGCAATCGTCAACCAAAATCTGCTGCCCATCTTTTACGTGAACGTTATTATGGTCTATGCAAGCAATTCTATGAATGCGAGGTGCCTAGTGATTTCTTGCCTTATACTATAAATTGGCGTTATCGTGTCCATCGTCCTGCCGTCGATGCAGAAAATTGTGATTCAAATTCTATAAACAAAGAATGTATAGATTTTCAATTGAACTGAGTAATATTTGAGGAAATATTAAATAATATAAAATATATTAATAAACGAATTGGAAGTAGAGCACAAAAAGGCTTACTTATCAATTTCAATTAAAACCAGGAATGAAAGTTCAACAGCCGAACAGGACCAACTATATGATATCCATCACGATCCTTCTTATATACGAAATTAATATAGGGTCTTTGGTGCACCATTCACATAAAATCGGACAAAAAATATATGGGAGCAACATCAAAATCTGAACCTATTTTCACGAAACGTAACACAAATCATTGCAAACTCCATAACTTATGATATTCTAAATTTCGTCTTAATCGGACAAAAATTGGGAGATTAGTGCACCATTTATAAAAAAAATCGGACGAACATATATATGGGAGCTATATCTAAATCGGAACCGATTTCAAAGAAACTTAGCTCATTTATCTCGAAACTGTATGGTATTTCAAATTTCGTCTGCATCATTGGGGGTTTAGTGCACCAATTACATATAATATAGAACATATATATCTAACTCTAGATCGATTTAAACAAAACTTAGCACACATCATTATAGACTTAATTTAATGCACAATTTCGTGTAATTCGAAAGAAATATAGGGGCTTTGATGCACCATTTACATAAAATCGGACGAAAATATATATGGAAGCTATATATAAATCTGAGATGATCTCAACGAAAATTAACACATGTCATTCTAGACTCAATTCAGTATGCTATTCAACATTTTGTCCCAATCGAAAATATCTTGGAAGTTTAGTGCATCACTGACATAAAATCGAACAAAAAATATATTTGCGAACTATATCTAAATCTAAACAGATTTCAACAAAACCTTAACATACACTTATCTGTACTTAATTCAGAACGATTTGCAAATGTTTTTCTCAATCGGACAAACTTTGGAGCTTGGTGCTCCATTTACATAAATTCGGATATATATATATATATGTAGAACGGGCCAAGATTAAATAGTCTAAAAACGTGATTCTAGGCATATCCTCAAAAGAAACCATGGGTCTTTCTCGTTTCCTTTGGGATGCACCATAGTGTGGAGAATGGTATAAAAACCCTCGAACGGTACAGAGATCCGCCACAAAGTCGACACTGTCTACCACGTGGATGGCTAAAATAAATCTATCTTATGAAGCTAAAGTCTGCCCAGTGGTAAGCAATGCGTCGTCAGTGTATTTTTCGAATGTAATTGTTACGAAGTGGATGGACATTCTGACTCCAGACAGTAAAAAAACAAGTACGACATTGATTTTGAGTTAGTACAACAATCTAGAGAAAAACTCTCTCATTTACCAACAAGTTTTATTTTAAAACCTAATTATCCTTGAGTGCTCCACAAATACTCCGTTAAGAGTAGATTCAACAAGCCTGCTTTCTAATACAGTTAGTAAATAGACTTTTTGTACACGAATATGAAAATTTATTTAATATTTGTATGCTATTGATAGTTTGATATCTGACTTTATTGTCTGAACTACCGACAGCAGTCTGTCCTGATGTATTATACAATAACTGGTATTTTATTGCTCTGTAAGAGATTACTTGCATTTTTGCCGCAGAACTTTGATTAATCGTGAGACAATTAAAATTAGTGTGTCAAAATTAAATGTTTGTTTTAATGACAATGATTTTATTAAAACAGTTTTTTCTTCTAAAAAATCGTCATCTTAATCGGTTTTTTCTTAAATCTATAAAATATAATTTTTATTGCTATTTTATATCAGTCTTCTTGATTTTGTGGTTCTACAATTTGCAAACACTCATCCGCAAATTCCAAAAATAATGGCTCCTGCATTGCCGCTCTAATCGCTTTCCAAGCATTTGGTGCTGTATCAATTTCGGTAAGTAAGTTTCTTAAATGTGGATTATATAGTAGATTTTTTAAGGATTCACTGTTGCCTGAAAATATATTAAATAATGATTAAAATAAATATATACAGTGAGTCAAATACATATTTTGCTTCTATACAAATTTGACAAAATTCCAAAGTAACCACATACTTTAAGCGGCTCGGAGGCGATTCCAACAAACCGCGTCATTTTTTGTGAGTATTTACCTTCAATACTTTAGTCTGCTATATATTTTGTAATATTTGGTAGTTTCTGGTCCAAATTCAAAATAAGACTATTAAATATAGTCGCCGCTGCTTTAAAGTATATGTATAGAATAATTGGTTTTCAAAAAAAACTGTTATCATTTATATTTTTCGATATGAACTCCTTATGTACACTTTTATCGCAAGTAGTCGTAAAAATGCCAGAGGTCATTTAAATGGCGTTTAGATATTTTTGTAAATAATTTGTTTGTCAGTTTTTGGTTTTAGATTAGACGCGACTACGAATTAAATCAGGACCAAAAATTATCAAACATTTCACAACATTTTTTTACCAAAGGTGGTCCTTTTGATACTTCTAATTTCTCTTCAGTTTCTCTAGAAAATAACATACCCAACATTTGTAATTTGTCCTTTGGCACCGTATCTTCTGTTTTGAAAGGTTCATGAACAGTAGGTTCTTCCTCATCGTCAGGTGCATCAGCTTTTGTACTTTCAGTCTCATTTACTTTGAGAACACATTCGGGTGAATCTTTGTGAACTTTATAACATTGAAGGGAGCAACTAAAATAAAAAACAGTTATTAAAACATGGCTTAAATCTAGTTTAGTAAAAACGATACGATTTTTCTGAAAAATTTTCCAGAGGTAGGTATTTTTACCCCAATTATGGGGATTTTTTTGGTAGGGGTACGTCCCCACGAATAAAATACAGTGAGCAGCAAAATTCATGGTACCCCATACAAATAAAAAAATATTCAGTAATTTTTTTATTTTATGTATTCACTCCTATACTACAACAATGGTATATAATATTTCATTTATTTGTTCCAACAAACCATAAAAATAATCGAGATCGTGTCAACTCCAAATTTTTGCACAGCTTAAGTCATGGTACTCCTGGTCAGAGCTGATATTACACATCATTTATGGGATAAAATCGTTTAGTAAAATAGGTGGCAACTATTTAGAGTTTTGTAAAATTCTCTTTTAAAACAATAACGGTACTTTGCACATTCCCAAAAGTATTTGCTTAGTGCAACAAGTGAAAGCAAGTATTTTTTAAAATGCCTAGAAAAGAACTAACTATTAAAGAGCGAAAAATAATAATTAATAACCATGAAATGGGAAAATTCTATTCCGAAACAGGTAAAATGATAAACAGAACCAAATCAGCAGTCCAAAAAGTAGTTAATCGATACAAAAAAGAAAATATAATTGAAAATGAACCGCGATCTGGCCGTCCCAGGACGCGCTCAACATCAGAGAAGAACAAAAAATTGAATGTATTTTTAAAAAAGGATCCATTTTCCAGCTCTTCTAAAATCGCTGCAGACTTAAAAGAATCATTTAGGAAAGCAGTTTCAGCAGACACGGTACGTAGGTGCATGAAGAAGTGTGGATTCAATGCCCGCACTACCTGAAAAACACTTGTTAACAAAACAAACAGAAAGAAGCGTGTCGATTTTGCAAATGATGATAAAAACAAGACAAATGAGTTCTGGGAAAAAGTTATTTTTTGGAAGAATCAAAATTTAACATATTTGGGTCGGATGGACGCTCTTTGGTGTGGCGAAACAAAGGCAAAGAGCTCAATCCAAAGAATACTCGGAAAACAGTAAAGCACGGAGGGGTTGGAGTAATGGTATGGGGATGCATGTCAGCAACTGGTGTTGACAATTTGGTATTCATTGAGGAAATAATGAATAAAACAGTTTACATGAATATTTTGAAACAAAATTTGAATCAAAGTGCTGAAAAACTCAACATTCGTGATAATTATTACTTCCAACAGGACAATGATCCAAAACACACTGCTATTGACGTTAAGAATTGGATCGTATGCAATACACCACTCATGCTGATAACACCTCCACAAAGCCCCGATTTAAATCCGATTGAGCTCCTATCATCTAGATAAACGAATCCGAAATCATACAATTTTTAGTAAGGCCCAACTCAAAGAAATACTTCTGACAGAATGGGGTAAAATATCGTCCGACTACACTAAAAAACTTGTATACTCAATGCCCGAACGATTGAATGAAGTTTTAAAACTCAAGTGATATCCTACCAAATATTAGTTAAGCCAATTTAATTGTAAAAATTAAGTAATATTAAATAATTCATTATTATTCTTCAGAGGTACCAAGACTTATGCTGTGCAAAAATATGGACTTTTAACTATGTCAATTTTGTTTTATATTTTGTTTTAATACAAAAATGAAATATTACTTTAATTTGTTGTAGTATAGGATTGAATACATTAAATAAAAATATATATTTGAAATTTTGTGAATTACTTTTTGAGGAATTACTGAATATTGTTTGATTTGTATGGGGTACCATGACCTTTGCTGCTCACTGTATATCCCCATAATGAGGGTACATCCCCACGAACAAAATATATCCCCATAATTAGGGTAAAAATACCTACCTCTGGAAAAAAATTCAGAAAAATCTGATCGTTTTCCCCAAACTAGAGTTGTTCCAAAAACATCGACTTTTAGGTGCTACTGTAACTACATTTAATTCAGCTTAAAGAAATTGAAGTTCAACTGTAATAGACACGAGGACAAAGTCAGAGAGATTGTGTTCCAGGACCACGCTATAGTTGTTCTTAATGACAGTCAGTACTAAGGTTCTTTCAATGATGTCTGTTTCCGGATTGTGGTTGTTTCTTATTCACTCAGAGAAGTACTTACTATTGACCAAAACATTTCGGACACTTATATTTGTTGGTTACTTCATGGCAAACGATACACTCCATTTTCTTTAGAATATATTTATAATATTAGAAGAAATTCAAACCGATTCCTTTACGCGAAACAAAATGTGTGAAGTTAATGTTTACGAATGAGTGTGATGCATAGCAACGTGTTGTTGTTTAGAAAGGGACATAGAAGATTGTCAATCATCTGATTTTATCCATAAAATAGGGAGACGTAATTCGATTTTTGACCAATCGATTTCATATTCTAAATTAAGAAAAGAACGAGAAGTAGATTATCCAAAACTATAAAATAAATAAAATATTAGCCCTGTGCGATTTTTTAATGACTTCTGTGGCTTCATTATTTCCAGCAGCTAAAACACGTGGGCTAAACTCGGTTCGACATTCAAGAAACTGCCAACGTTAATGATACATGCATTGTCCTAAATAAGGAATCACCCTGTTGAATCAGTAGCTAGCCAAGTCGTTTAGCAAGGACTGGAACCAAATTATACGCACAGAAAAGTCTGGTAACTATGATGTATGTGTGTTTAGTACGTAAACTGTATACAATAGTACGAGATGTGATGTGTAGATGGCGATCGGAATTTTCGTCATCGTTGATATTGTTACTTTCTTGGGTCTATCTTTCTTTACCTCGTGTAGACGTTGTTTTACAATGTAAAGGAATTGTTGCTTGCGATAACCAGAGTTCTACTGTATTTTAGTATATCCCACATATATACCAGTAAGGAAAGTAGTAAAGTCGGACGGGGCCGACTATATGTTACCCTTCATCACTATGGGTATATTAAACAGGACTATTAACATGAAATTGGATGAAATAAAATATATGATATTGTTACGAAAATAACTTTAGATTTAAGATTAATTTAGATGAATTCCGTTAATTTAAGAATTTGAATTGTAACGTAAATTTGTACTACGCAGTTTATTCGAATAACTTCACAACAACAACTACTGTATAGATTTTTCTACATCCTTCCATTTCCTCATTCATTGTCTATTTTTTTTTTTTTTTGTTGGCGTACAATTCTTGTTAAACGTCATCATTGATGATCGCTTAATTCCTCTTTGTTACCCCCTCGCCTGTATATGTGTTGCTGTTATTGTTTACTCAATGTAAGTTTGTATGTGTTGTTGTTATTGTTTACTCAATGTAAGTTTGTATGTGTGTTTGTTGCATTGGTAGATTGTTCGTAATCTAGACGTTACCAGATCGTCTAGAAACTTCTGTAGCGACAGGCAAGGCTCATATAAATAGAGGAAGTGGAAAGGCAGTTAGTCAGTTGTGAATCAGATCGCGAATTGAAACCGTCGTGTAAAGTAAAGTGCAAAGTAAAGTTGTGTGAATAAAATCATTGTAATATCGTAATCAGAACGAACCCGCGTTTTATTTGGTACGAACTGTATCGGGAAATAAAACAACGTCTACACGGGAATAAGTGAAGTCCAAGAACGTAACAATTGGTGTCGGAAGTGAGATTACGATAATACTACGATGAAGTTTAAGGATCTACGAGTGGAAGACTTGAAGAAGGAGCTGAATAAATTGGAATTGTCCTCTACTGGCAACAAGGCTGAACTACAAAAACGTCTGTTGGATGAGTTCGAGCGCCGTGGTATGAACATCGATACATATGAGTTTGACAGTAAGGATGAAGTGGATTTATCGGAAATGGGCGAATCCAACTGTGGGGAAGTCTCGTCAGTAGCTGCCAGGTGTGACGATTTAAGAGAAATGCTGGCTAAAATGTTTGAGCAAAATTCCAGAATGTTCGAAGAGAATTCCAGAAAGTTAGATGAACTCAAGGCAGATAATTGTAGAATGAACGAGAAACTCGAGAACATTACGGAAGTTATTGGAAGGAGAGTGGAAACCGTGGAGATCCAAATTAAAGAGTTGGATAAGAAAGTGCAGTCGGTTGACGAGAAGATTCTGTATGTAGATGAGAAATTTCTGGCCCACGACCACAGGTTTACAAATCTGGAGAAGAAAATGTCGGAACTGGAAATCAAAGGTGGTCCGGTGCGAGCTCCTGATAACACACTAAAAATCAAACCTCCTGTATTCGACGGCTCTACGTCATTCAATGTTTTCAAGTTACAGTTCGAGACAGTGGCTTCTAGAAATTCGTGGAACGACAGCGACAAAGCGGTTGCACTACTTCTGGCATTGAAGGGCAGTGCTGCTGATGTTATACAGAGTATTCCTGTCGCTTCTAGAAGCAACTATGAAGATGTTATTGCTGCACTGGAACGTAAGTACGGTGGCGAACATAAACAAAACATCTACCTTATGGAACTTAGGGGAAAAGTACAGAGGGCAAACGAGACGTTACAAGACTTTGCAGCTGAGGTGGAACGTTTGGTGCTAATGGCGTATCCAGGAGAGAATCACCCATTGCTGGACCTTATGAAAATCGAAACCTTTGTGAATGGCATACGTGACCCTGAGATTAAATGTGCAACATATGCGTCACCAAAAGCGTCGTTTGCCGAAACTGTGTCGTTTGCCCTTGCCCAAGAGACGGCAAGAATAATTGTTAAGCCCCAGACCCACAAGATTCGCCAACTGGAGACCGAAGGTTGCGAACCCAAATCTCTCGTTAACTCAATCAAGGACGCCATGAAGCAGGTAATAGAAGAAACAAAGTTAGTAGGGATGACTAAGCCCAGGGTTAGATGCTACAACTGCGATAAAGCAGGTCATATTGCACGCGAATGCAGAGCTAAGCGCAAACGATCCAGGTCATCGTCACCACCTCCAACGAAAGATGGTAGACGAATGGCTCAACAGTCCACCAATGAGTCACCGTTAAACTAAATCGAGCCAGTCCAGCGGGGCATGAACTGGCTCCCATCGACGATGGCCCCACAATCTCCATAGCAATAGTACAACAGAAAAGTCAGAACCTAACAACAACTGGGTACATCAATGGTGACAAGCGAGTTCTGACGTTAGATACCGGCGCATCAAAGTCCATCATAAGATCAGATCTGGTAAAGGGAAACATAACGCAACTTAATGGAGTCAGACTGCGCACAGCAACGGGGGAGCCCGCGGCAGTACACGGCAAGATTACCCTGAGACTAACTATTGCCAATAAATCGGTGAATTACGAGTTTATAGTTGCCGATATCGTAGACGAAGTGATAATAGGCGCAGATTTTATGATTGCCTTCGGTATCAATCTGGATATGAAAGAGCGTGTGATGACCTGGTCTAACGTCGAAATTCCGTTAAACGTGGGCTATGATGAAATTACACCCATTAGACGTCTGACTACGGACCATCCAGAGATAATACCGCCCTGTGCCGAAGCAATAATATGGGTACCAATGAATGGAGATTGTGGAGCCGAGAAGTTGTGGGTGGTGGAACCAGCAGAAAACAGAAACAGTAACATCCTAATAGCGAATGCCCTGGTGAAAAGCAACAAGGACGGATTAATTCCTGTTAGAGTTTTGAACCTGTCAAACCAGCAAGAGCAAATTTGCCAATTTTCCGATGTTGGACAATGCACACCAGCTGAAGCTGTAGTTAATTTGGAAACTAGCACCGAAAAGCCAGCAGCCATGGAGAAGAAGCACCTTGACGGCTACATAAAAGAGTGGACACACCAATTATCACCTTCCGAGAGGAACGTTGACAAAAGAGCACCAGGGAAGAACATCAGTGGTGAAGCATGAAATCCATACAGCAGACGCGAGACCCATTAAACAGCCTCCAAGAAGTGTTCCCCTGGCAAAAAGAGACGAGGTCCAGAAGCTGATAAGTGAAATGGAAAAGAGTGGTGTAATAGAACCATCGACAAGTCCATGGTGCTCCCCAGTGGTCTTGGTCAAGAAGAAAGACGGAAGCACCCGATTTTGTGTGGACTACCGAAAGTTGAATGATGTCACCAAGAAAGACAGCTATCCGCTCCCAAGAATCGACGACACATTGGACACATTAGCCGGGACGTCATGGTTCTCCACCCTCGACCTGCAGAGTGGGTACTGGCAAGTAGAGATCGCCGAGAAAGATAAAGAGAAAACAGCGTTTGGCGTTAATGGGGGTCTCTGGCAGTTCAATGTCATGCCATTCGGACTCTGCAACGCCCCGGCTACATTTGAAAGGCTGATGGAGCGTGTGTTAAAAGGGCTGCAGTGGAAGTCGTGCCTCATATACCTGGATGACATCATAGTCATGGGACGCAACTTCGACGAACACATCAAGAACTTAAGGGATGTTCTACAGCAGCTTTCGTCTTCAGGCCTCAAGTTAAACCCAAAGAAGTGCAGTCTCTTCCAACGAGAGGTGAAGTTCCTGGGGCACCACGTGACGCCGGAGGGCATATCGACGGATAAGGAGAAAATTCAAGCCGTCAGAGATTGGCCGCAGCCCCGAAATCTCCACGAGCTGCGAAGCTTTCTGGGTCTCTGCACCTACTACCGTCGATTTGTCCCAAATTTTGCCAACATCGCCGCCTGTCTACACCGCTTGACGCAAAAAGGCCAGAGGTTTCAGTGGGGCAACGACCAAGAAGAGGCATTCAGTAAACTCAAAGACATGCTATGCAGAGCCCCCATTTTGGCATACCCTATACCTGGCGGAAAGTTTGCTCTGGACACAGACGCAAGTGCGTGCGGCATCGGTGGCGTCCTTTCCCAGGAAATCGACGGACAGGAAAAAGTCATCGGGTACTACAGCCGGACATTGTCGAAGCCTGAGAGGAATTACTGTGTGACGAGGAGAGAGCTGCTTGCTGTCCTTGAGAGCGTTAAACACTTCCACAAATACCTATATGGCCAGCATTTCCTGCTGAGGACCGACCACGCTGCTCTCCAATGGTTGCTGCGGTTTAAGAATCCGGAAGGTCAACTAGCCCGTTGGATCGAGAGGCTCCAGAGTTATGACTTCAGAATCGAGCACAGAAAAGGCGGAAAACACGGTAATGCTGATGCCCTGTCTCGTCGGCCATGCAAAGTAGAATGCAGGCACTGCTCAAAGGCTGAGAATAAAGAGAATATCGTTGATGTCCGACTATTGC